TTCAGAGAATATACATCATTCTAGAGAACTTTTCTCCTACAAGATATTCCCAAACAACCTGCACAATAACTGAGTCTTCGATTCCAATCCAAATTCTTGCCAAACTGCTGATTCAACATGGTGGGAAACATGGCATGACAAGTGAATTCCATGAACATGGGCCCACAGTCCCACTTAATTTGGTGTGAAGTGGGTAATTTGGTGAGTAGCAATGCTGTGTAGAACAGCATGGTAGTGAATGAGACCTTCCATAAGTCCACACATGAAGTAGTATATGTAGGGCTGGAAAATCTTTGTTCAGAGTAAGTGTTTATTCCAGTATAAGCAGAACTCTTCCCCTTGAAGCATGGAATCTGTCCAATATAATCAACCTGCTACCAGGTAGCTAGCTGATCACCCCTGGGAATTGTGACATACAAGACTTAGTATTATTCTTGCTGCTGACAGACTGGGTACTCAGCAATGGCCATAGCTGAGGGAGTCAAAGTCTGTGTTGACTCACTTTGGTGAGTCAAAGTCTGCATTGCTAAGCCCTTTAAAACCTCCATCCCTGTCACCATTCCTGCTTTGTTCATGAGCCCATTGGGCAATACTAGGTGTGGCTGGGAAGAGAGGCTGACCTACACACACAGTAAGGTCATCCCATCCACTTGGTCATGAAAATTTTCCTCTGCTGAGGTCACATGAGCATTCTTTTGGGATACAAATATCCTCTCTCTCTCTCTCTCTTTTTTTTTGATCCATGAAGAGAGGTCTATCCACTCACTGTTTCTACAGACATCCTTATTACCAATTTTCTAATCATGCTCCTTCTAAGCATCTAACCATTCAGTAAAACCATTCCCACTGCCTATCGATTGGTGCATAATTCCACATCTGGGCATACCACTTTCCAATCAAAATGAACAGTCAGGTGTGCTGAATGAAATTCTGCTCACTGGAAAGATTTCCTATCACCATTGTCCTGCAGGCATATGCCAGAAAAGGACAGTAGTGCTATAGATGTTAACTTTCAGATGGTAACTACAAATCACACAGAGCCACCTCTAAACAAAACCTGAATTTTCTCTTCCTTGGTCAATAGTGTGTGACAGTGCTGCTACTGGAATCTATGAAGGAACTTGTTTCCAGGGAAAAGCTGAAAGAAAAAGAAGTAGATGAAAACCAGTAATTTGATCTGTATCAGCTGCTTCTCTACAGTTTCAGTTTTGGGCACAAGAGATATGCTTTTGCTTAGATTCCTCATGTATTTGATTTTAAATTTTGTCTAGAATCTGTGGTTATAATCAGCGAGAGAGATAGGTAGGCGTTCACTAGCTCCAGAGTGACCAGAATCTGAACACCCTCACTGAATTATTTCATAGACTTCAGTTTTTAGTTTTTATAGCAGTTGTAGGATCACAGCAAAATTGAGTAGAAGGTACAGATAGTTCCCATATGCTTTCTGTGCTCACATAGGCACAGCCCCCACCCAGTTATCAACATCCCCCACCACAGTGATGATTGTGTTATAATTGATGAACAGATTTACACTATGACACATCAATGTCACTCAAAGTCCTCAGTTTACATTAGTGTTCATTCTTGATGTTCTACCTTCTCTGGGTTTGGACTCGTGTATATTGATATTTATCCATCATTGTAGTAACTTCATTGCCCTAAAAATCCTGTGTTTTGCCCCTCCTTTCCATTCCCCAGCCACTAATGATCTTTGTATTGTCTCCATAATTTTGTATTTTAATTTGGTGTGAAGATCAGATAGTTGGAACCCTGTGTCATGGAGCCATTTCCAGTAGGTATCTTTCACCTAGTAATATGAATTTAAGTTGCTTCATAACTTTTAATGGCTTGCTTAGCTCATTTTTCTACTGATGAATAATAGCTCATTGTCTGATGTACCTCAGTTTTATTATCTATTCACCTGCAAAAAGACATATCAGTAGCTTCCACTCTGTATGCATGTGTGGAAGTAGCACATTAAAACTCATAAGTATGTACAATTAAAACATGTTAATTACAAATAAAATAATTTTTAAAAACTGCATTAAACATCCATGTGCAAGATCAGGGTTGAATGAAGTGGACATCAAGGGCTTATAGTGGAAAGTGGCCAAGTTAACAATGGGTCTCCAGGAGGGTGCATGTGGAACAGATGGGTACGACACAAGTCAAGAGTAACTGAGGGAATCACCCTTCTCCCAAACCATGTAAGTCCTTTAACTCTTTATTAGCATACCTGTGTGTTCTCCTGAGAGACATCTATGGGGAAAGAACTCCATTTCCAGGTTTATTGGTCAGAACATGCACCACATTCAACAACCCAGAGCTTCAGTCTTGCAAGATGACCTGAGCCTGTAGCTGAGTCTCCAAATAATCATTCCACCCAGCTATAATGCTTATCTCTGTAGATGTAGTGGGCATGGTAATGTGACCAATGAGACTCCTTATTTTAGTAGATATGGATCCTTAGTTTTCTAAGGTAATACAAACAGTTCAAAATTTATTTTTAACTGATACTTGAAGACATAATTATAATTATATATATATATATATATATATATAAAACCACATAATATCTTGTTATATGCATATATTGTGCAATATTTAAATCTAGTTAAGTGTATCTATCTCCTCAAATGTTTAACATTTCTTTATGTTAATAACTTTTTAAATTCTTTCTTCTAGGTTTTTGGAATGTGCAATGCATTATTGTTATCTACAGTTGCCCTACTGTGCCAGAAATCATCAGAACAAATGGTAACTCAATACCCATCAATCAATATTTCCTCACCTCTTATAACCACTGTTCTATTTTCAATTTCTCTGAAATAAACATTTTTAGATTCTATATATGTGTGAGATCATATGATAACTTGTGTTTCTTGGGGTTGATCATTTCACATAACATAATGATCTCCAGATATTACTGAAAATGGGATGTTCCTGTTCCCTACTTATTTCATGCCAGTTTCTATTTTCTCCCTTTATTTATATTTGTGTTATATATTTGGAAGCTTCAATATTGGGTTCATATTTTTCTAGAATTGATATTTTCTTCTTCTAAATTGACCTCTTTATCATTGTATAATGCCTTTCTGGGTCCCTTCATACTGCTTTTGAGTTAAAGTGCATTTTGTTTATATAAGTGGGTCTCCTCCTGCTTTCTTTTGGATTTGATTTGCATAGAATAACTTACTCCACTCATTCAGTTTCTGTGTCTATGCATCCTTACATGTGAACTGAGTTCTTTTTAGGCAACATATGGTTGGGTCGGGTTGTTTTATCCATTTAGTCACTCTATTTCACTTAACCAGATAATTTAATCCATTTACATTCACAGTAATTGTTGACAGTTAAGATCTTATAACAACCATTCTGTAATGTGGTGGTGTTATCTGGGCATTGAAAGACTGGTTGTTTATTCCAGTTTTCTTAATTTGGCTTTGTTTCTGCCTGTCTTTCCCTAAATTCTAAGCAGGCTGCTTGTTTTCTCTGACCCTATATTAACTTTGTAGTGGTACACCCTCCTCCACAAAAAGTCTTAATTAAACTTCTCCAGAAATTTTCACCATAATTGATCTTGGGATCAGTACAAGAATCTCTACAAAAGAGTTAAATGTAGTTAAACTTCTTATTTCCTGTTGCTCTATCTTACTTGGCCTGTAAGAGATCAGCACTCCAGGTGCTGAACGCCCCTTTTCTAGTTTTTCACAAACATTTACGAACTATCTAATATAAATGACAACATATTTAATAGTTTATAGAAGTTGCTTGCAAATGCAGAATGTGATAAAAAAAAAAAACCAGATTATTTAACTAGGCCTTTGGCCTTGGGCTGGAGCTTCACAAAGATGTTTACATTTCAAAGATAAGTAAGAGATTACTGTTGTGTGAACTGATAAATACAATCAATAAGAGTGTAAGTTAAAGGTTATAGATTAGTAAAAATATAGATTACAGATATAAGATTTTGATAAGTGAGATAAGACAATTATAAAGCAAGAACTGTTGTAGATAGGGCCTAAGACTCCGTTTTGCTGCCTTCTATTAAAAAAAAAAAACAAAAAACAAAAAAACTGTTACAAGAACTGTTTCTGAGAAACTGAAATGAAAGCTGTTTTTTTTTTTTTTACAATGTATTGTTTTCTGTACTTTGTACCCCACAAAATGTACTCAACCTAGGATATGGTGGTCTTGGTGACCCAAGACTTTAAAGTAGATTCTCGCTCCCACTAACCTCCTGATCAAACTCAGGATACGGTTGTCTAACACCTGCTCAAACCCAAGATGCGATTGTCTTGAGTTGCTATGCTAATTGCTGTCTTAGCTGCTATGATTACATGACACTAAGGAAAGTCCCTAAGCTGTGGTTTTCATCCTTAAATTCCCAAGACACAGGCCAGGAAATTGCTGTTCTCTTGAAGAGCTTCAGTCTCTATGGGTGGGTGACAGTCCCTGACCAGGTAAATAAAGTTCTCTTTGATTTAAATTATGACTTAGAGTTTCTGTGGCAGCTCCCCATAACATTACTAATTGGGCTCCATGTTAGCAGCTAGAACGAAGAGGGAAAAAGAGGGAGAAGAAGCTCTCCCCTTTTCAGGTATTGTCCTTGAAGGATTAACTTGCCCAGAAAAGTGAAAGAAAAAGCTGTTTTGTTTTTTTTTCTAAATTCCGCAGACTGTGAACTTCTGAGCCCCTACCCTTACATGCTGGGTATAAAGTTCTGAAACTGCCTGAATGTGGGGTTTAGGGTGATTGACTGATTATAGCAAAAGCTTTGCCCTCTGAACCTGGCTATAGCCAAATAAACCTGATTCCTGTTCCTATTGGGTGTCTTGCCTCCTCTGTTCCCTGCAACAACTTCAATTATTCAGCACTGGATGGAACCCAGGTTCAGGTTAGCTGGGAGTCTGTTCTCAGTTTGTTCTTACTTTTTAAATACTAGAGAATATCACAACACCAGTTTTTGTCACAAATACACTATTGGTGTATTGTACATAATGAACCAGGTGAGTACTTAGACAAAATAGTTTTTTTTTTCCTTTCTTTGTGGTGCTGGGGATTGAACCCAGGGCTTTGTGTTTGCAAGGCAAGCACTCTACCAATTGAGCTATACCCCCAGCCCAAGATAGAATAGTTTTTGCCCACAGACCTCTCCCTGGGGCTTGGCAAGATGCCTTGCCTACAGTTTCTTATCTGTGGTTGGGTACCTTGGGAATCTTTCCAGCACTGAGAACAGTTGTTGTGGATAGACAAACTATAAGCTCCAACTTCATACCTGTAGCCACTTGTGCCATCAGGTTGTCTCACTCTGAACCCACAGCCTACAACAATATGAGACAACAGTGGGATAGCTCCAAGCCCACACTATTATGAACTGCCTATTGCTGAGTTGGACTCATGGATTAAGACCGTAACACAGGTGGTTCTAACTGCAAGAGAAGACTTATATCCTGTGGCAACTTATCTTTCTTAGGAACCAGAGATTTTCTAGTGGCCCAATCTACAAACAAGATTGAGCTTTCAGTAAAAAATTGGGGAACCAGATGGGACCTGAGAGCAGGCCCCACTCTTTTTCCATCTATGGGTTCATCCCATGTATCAGTGGGTAAATTTCCAACCCAATTTATCTGGATCCATCTGGGTTTTTTGTTCCTAAGCTGCTATAACTGAAGAGGAATGTGTTTAACTGACTCCCACTCTGGTGTTCGTCATGTGTGATTTCACATCTGCTGAAGTCCAAAGCACCTTCCCAAGCTAACAGAGACAAAAGACTCAGCAACATACTCTTGTATTTAACTAAATGTAACTGGGCTTCATCTTCTTTCAAATGAGACAGATGGGTCATAGATTTCACACTAAATAAATATGTGTAAGACCCTAACTGTAGTGCAGATTTCAAATTAAGCCTTGGAAGAAAGGGTAGGACTTGAATACTCTTGTCTTTTAAGTTCTAACTTCTGCCTACTTTCTTGCCTTGTTCTTGGTGTCCCTGTCATGTACACAAGGCCCCAGTCACTGTGCCTTCTAGGTGGCCAGGAGCACATCGGAGTACATGCATGTATACTAAACTGTGCACATACAGATTCCCATGATGCACACATTTCTGAGGGTCACAGTTCTATGTCTGTGAACAGCCTCCTGTAGCAGTGGTCACTTTGTGCTTTGAATGTAGCCCTTGCTGCTCTGCCACTGAAGCTTATTTTAAAAACTGAATATGTTTCTTTCTCTTCCTCTCTCCCTGCTCCTCCCTAATCTCCCCCACTCTCTAATCTCAGGGGAAACAGGATTACTTTTCTTCCCCATCCTAGGCAGTGTTATCTGTCCCTAAGAACACACCCACCATAGGAACAAAGTAGTCCAGACTTTGGGGATGGTACCAGAAGATCTCAGAAATGACTATCTCCCAAATTAACAAGTGAGTTACAACTCCAACAGAGAACAGGTGGAATGAAGCTTTTGTGTCATCTCTTTAAAAGGCCCCTGATCCTGCTGATGGGCAGAGTCATAGTCTTTGGGACAGGAATCCCCTGTGCTTTTCCTTTGCTAACAAAGAAATAAACCTTTATCTTTTTCTCAAAATCATGTCCTTGTTGTTGAATTGGCATCAGGGACAAGGACCAAGATGATTTTGGCAACACTCCCACAATACTTCCTGTGTTTTCACTCCTTTGTTTTTCTCTCTTTTTCTTTCACAGCAGTGTTATTTACAATAAAGAAAACACAAGAAGCAGCCTAAATGTCCATATATAGTAGAGGAAATAAATGTAATATAATCATACAATAACATGTTGAACAGCAGAGAAAGCAAATGAATGTATACATACATATTACCATAGATGAGTCTCTACAGCATAATATGAGTGACAAAAGCACTCTGTAGAAAATGCACACATTTTTTTGAGAGAGAGAGAGAGAGAGAGAGAGAGAGAGAGAGAGAGAGAGAGAGAGAATTTTTTAATATTTATTTTTTAGTTTTTGGTGGACACAACATCTTTATTTTATTTTTTATGCTGTGCTGAGGTTCAAACCCAGCAAGGCAAGCATGTTACCGCTTGAGCCACATCCCCAGCCCCTGCACACAGTTTTGACAGGATGAAATTTAAAGCAATTTAAACTAATACTGGATGTGATTTGGGAAAATTCATATAAGTGAATGTATAAGTTAAATATACAAAAACATCAAATTCTGCATAATGATAGTTTAGAAAGGGGATATGATAAGGGAGGTGTAGCCATGGTGCTGCTAGTGTGCTATTTATTAAGTGGACTATAGATCTATTAGTATTCAATGTTTATTCTTGTTCCTTATAATTTCTAGTAAATATTTTTTTTCTTTTTATACCTTTATTTTATTTATTTATTTTTATGTGGTGCTGAGAATCAAACTCAGGGCCTCACAATGATAGGTGAGTGCTCTCCTGCTGAGCCACAACCCCAGCCCCCCCACTAGTGAATATTAATTGTGAAAATTGTTTTTTTTTTCTGAGTTAAGTTGATGAAGCTTTAGTTTCCTAGGTAACCAACTTAGGAGCTTTGTCTTGACCTCTGGCCTCAGAAAGAGAAAGCAATGACAAGTCATGCATTCTCATCAGTTCTGGCCTTCCCAGTTGGGTGGTTGCCAGAGCTGAGTGGCCCAGGACAGATGAGCAGAAGAACATGGCCCAGACAACAAAATGCATGTTCCATTCCATCACTGAGGCCATTCTCCCTCCCCTGCCTGCTTAGGTCTCAGCTGAGAATGGGAATGTGCTTTGGCTCAGAGCTCAGTCATAGAGGTGGGGTGGCGATTCAAAAAGAAAGGTGAAATCTTGGGATCCTCTCAGAAGGGACTGAGGAAGGGACCAGAGTCACAAAGAAGCCTGATCTCCAACAATGAGATCCCAGGAGACCAGTTGACTATCTACTGAAGTGGCTCTAATGTAAGGATCTCTGATTTTCTCCAGTAGCACCTAGTGCTATGCAAATGCTTTTTCACCTCAGGATCAGGGATCAGGCCTTGGGGAGTGACTTCTGTATTGGCAAAGGACAGTGGAGCCTGGCATCACCTGACAAGGGTTATAATGGGCCTTGAGGCAGCCCTGCTCTCCTCAGTGTAGTGGCACTCCCTCCCTCACAAAAAATATTAACTTCTCCAAAAACTTCACCATAATTGATTTTAAGACTATAAGCAAAAGAGTCTCTACAAAAGAGTTCAATGTAGATAAACTTCCTATTTTCGTGTTGCCCTGTTTTACTTGGCCACCAATCTGGAAGAAATCAGCACTCCGGGTGCTGGACATCCCCTTACTAGTTTTTCACAAACATTTATCCAGTATGGTAGTTTGTAGAAATGTGCAAACAAGGCCTCTGGTCTTGAGCTGGGGCTTCACAGAGATGCCTACATTTCTAAGATAAGAGAAGTTACCCATTGGGCTCCATGGTAACAGCTGGCAGAGGGAGGAAAGAAAGGGGAGAAGAAGCTCTCCCCTTCTCAGGTGTTGTCCTTGAAGAGTTAACATGCCCAGAACAGTGAAAGAAAAAGCTGCCTTTATGTGAACTTCTGCAGACTGTAAACTTCTGAGCCCCTCCCCTTACATGCTGGGTATAAAATTCTGAAACTACCTAAACTCAGGGTTCAGGGAATTGATTGATTACAGCAAAAACTGTGCCTTCTGAAGCTGGCTGCAGCCAAATAAGACTGTTTCCTGCTATCTTTGGTGCCTTGCCTTGTCTGTCCCTACAACATTTTTGGCAACCCAGATGGAATGGAGGAGGTAGGGATGGCTGTTCTGCCTCTCTTTTCTCCAGGGACCAGCTTCCCCAGGATGGTGGGGGACAGTGTTTCCCCTTAGCATGCACAGGCAAATCTTGACCTGAAGGAGAGGCCACTCACCCAGGACCCTGAAGCTGCCATTCCAGAGCACAATGGAACCCTGAAGAAGCAGAAACCAGAAATAGGGTTTTGGAGCACCGCCCAGCTGAACAGGTAGGATCTGGGTCCATTTGGTTTTATAGCCCACCTGACTTCCCCTTCGAGGCCTAAGCAGGTGGAAGAGAGGCTTGATCAACCTCTCTTGGGTCCCGAGTACTCTCCAAAGTGGTTGGAGCTGAAAGGACCCGGGGAGTCGCCCAAGTAGTCTCTGTGCGATGTCAGCGAGCAGAGGGGAAACTGTGACTCCCTTTTTGTCTGGTTTGGAATTGTTGGAATTTGAGCAGTTATATAAATTTTGTTCTGACCACGTCTGTGTGAAAGTGTGTGAAAGTGTGTGAATGAGACGGACAAAGGGAAGGGTTCCGACCCAACCCCAGGGCCGAAGTGAGTGCAGAGTCCTGATCTGCGGTTCCGTGGCACCTCAGATGCCGCGTCTATGGCGGAATTTCACCAACCAACGTCCAGGTGAAAGCTCCAGGTCGGGGTTTGATACCGACCCACAAGGCTAAGAGGGCCCTAAGTCCCCGCGAGGGGAGCAGCCGGAGATGGGTGAAGCGAGTCTTGTCCTAAATGTGTGACACCAATGCAGGGTGGAACATGGGAGGCACACTAAGGAAACTGAGCCTTCTGAAATGTGTGTTAGAAACCTTTAGGAAGGTTTTCCTGGTAACTGTGGGGTGAGACTCACTCCACAAGGTTGCATACTCTGTGAATTAGAATGGCCCACCCAAGATGTGGGCTGGCCACCAGAATGATCCTTAGATGAGAGAGTCATTGCTGAGGTCCTTTTGATTGTTGTTGGAACCCCTGAACCAATTCTCTTATATTGATTGCTGGCAAGAGATAGTACAGAAACAGCCCCCTTGGTTGAGAGGCTGTCTAGATGGACAGTCCAAGCTGATGTTAGCCAGGAGCCTAGTGGTCTCTAAGACCCAGTGGAAAGCAGCTAAACAGAAAACCTGACTAGGAAAGACAGGAAGGGAAACAGTTTTCCCTGTGAGCCAGAAGAGGACCCAAGACATTATGTGCCACTCTACCTGAATTTGCCAAGACCACTGGGACAACAGACTGTCCCCTCAGCCCCCTTGTCCCCAGAGGCAACAAATGATGGCCCCCCCAGTACTGGCTACTCCTTCCTCTTTGATGTCCTCAGAGCCAAAGGCTCCCTAGGACCAAATACTCTTTCACCTCCAAAGATGAAGGTGGGAGATTTGTCCCAAGACCAGAGCCACAGCTCAGATGAGAGTACTCCAGATGGCCCTGCAAGGGACTAAAGGACCTGCCCATGTTGACCAGAAGGGAAATGTCTGAGGGAGACAAGGCAGTTTTGTGTGCCAGCCTTTCTCCACCACTGAGCTCATAAGCTGGAAAAACCATACTCCCTCCTACATGGAGAAAGCCTGGGCCATGACTGATCTGATGCAGCCCATTATCCAGACCTAGGATGGGCCCCAATAAAGAAGGAAATCTAAAGATAAAAAGATATCATGAAGCCTTCATAGGAAGCCTGAGAGAAGGGTAAAAGAGAGCAAAATTTTCCTCTGCATGCATATGAGCAAAGGTTGCCAGCAGTGTCGTGTGTGTTGACTGTTTCCCTCCCAGAGGAGCAAATAAGCCATGCCATTTCCTCAGTGTTCCATCCGTTCCTTTGGAGGGAATAACAAATAGTGAAAAGGAAAAAAAGATAACAAAACAAACAGTCTGTGCCCAAGAGTTAGAAGGAATTGGAGCCAGCCCTAAGCCCTAGCCTAAGCCAGAGCAAATCTGTAGACAAACAGAGCTGGAGCAAAGCCTCCCACTGCTCCAGCATCTCCCCTCTCTCACCCTAGATAGCCCCGAACATTTCCTTGGGCCCCACATCCTCCTAATGCCCCTCTGCCCTATGAAACTGGCAGCAATAATCAAAAGAGATGTGCCCAACTGACTCAGAGCTGAGTGTCCAGCCACCGCCGCTGCCACCCCTCTCCCTATCCAGAGGCGCCTGGGGGAGGAGGGGCACTATACAAGTGTAGCAGCCTTAGCACAAGTTTGTCAGTGAAGAGATGCAGAGGCTCAAGCAAAAGGTGATCAATGCAGCCTTTGTGGGACGGGTTCAGAGTGACATTTGCCCAAAATTACAAACCTATAGGGCTTTACTGAGAAGTGTGCCAGTGACCTGATTAAGGTGGCCACCACAGTTTTCATCAATCAAGATGCAGAGGCTCAAAGACTGGCAGACCAAAAAGGTAAAAAGGAGGATGGATCTCCTTACAGCTGCCCTCACCACAAACCCAGAGGTCACTCAAAGGGTGGGGGGGTCTCACTAGAACAAAGCCAATGGTCCAAATGTTTATAAGAAAAAAAGTGTGGTCAGACAAAAAGGGAAGCCTCCAGTGGCCCCTGTGGGCAAGCACCCACGGCCACACTCAGATACTAAGCCTTGAATAGAGAAGGATTGAGTGTTTTCCCTCAGCTCAAGGCCCCAGCCCCTCCTTTCAGTTTTTCCCTGCTTGCTCAGAAGTTGATGATTGACGAATATGGCAGGGGTCTGATAGACACACACAGCTGTATCTGATGCTCGGGACCCAGGGCCTCAGGAGGGCTCAGCTGCTGCAAGCCCAAAAATACATTGGGCTTGTAAATTCACGTTAACAACCAATAGTGGGCCACAGGGCACACACTCCAAAAGGACATGCCACCTTGGCTCCAAGCTGCATGCTGTGAGCCACAAGTGGGAAGGACCACAGAGCCCCATGCATCCAGGCATAGTGAACAAAAACACAAGCGGGGCAGCTACTATATACAATTAGAGCAGGCTCCCCCCTGACAAGAGGAGAAAGCCATACAAAGAGCAACACCTAGGTGAGCACAATGTGGCTGCCACACCAGGACCTGCACAGGACCTGCCCTCCAACCTGGGCAGACAGCCCATAGTGAGATTTACATAGGTGACTTTGTGCCCAGCCAGACTGCAGCAGTGCCTTTTATACAAATGATGTCCCAGGTCATCAATCTCTGCTAAGTTTTACATTAGATTTAAGAGTTGGAGAATCCCAGCATCCAAGATCCTGCACCGGGGGATGACAAAAAAAAAATTCATGCATCTTAAAGTGCTAGAGGCTCGGTGTACACTTCCCTTCCCTAAATGAAAGTTCCTCCCAGGGGCTTGAGTACACCATCTTTGGGACAGCACTGGATTCTGACTTAAAAGCCCATATCTATCAAGAAAAAGTCAAATATCTTGGTTGCCATCTGACTCCAGCAACAGAACAGACAACAGCAACTGAGCCTCAAAAGAAACAGGAGATCTGCTCAATTCCATTCCCTTCAACCTGCCATCAGACTAGAAAATTCTTGGGGTCTGCTTGATTCAGCCATATATGAATCCCCAACTTTCAGTTATGGCAAAACTCCTCTATGAAGCCACAAAGGGGGGAAAATGGGATCCTCTAATATGGGGGCCAACTAAGCAAAAGGCCTTTGAGGACATTAAACAAGCACTCCCAGTGCACCTGAACTAGGGCTCCCTGACCTCACAAAGCTTTTCTTTCTGTATGTCAGTACAGTCTGGAGTGGCTGTAGGAGTCTTGACTCAGGTGCTGAGGACATGGACATCTATCCAAACAGCTGGACTCTGTAGCCCAAGGCTGGCCACCTTGTTTATGGGCCTTTGCAGCCACAGATCTTCTGGTGTTGGAAGCTGATAAACTGGCTATGGGACAAAAATTGGTTTTCAGGATTCCTCATTCAATTTTGACATTGTTAGAGTACAAAGGACAATATTGGTTGACTAATGAGAGAATGGTTAATACCAGGGCATGTTATGTGAAAATCCACATGCCCGTGTTGAAGTTGTCCAGACTCTAAACCCAGCAACTTTGCTTCCCATCTGACCTGGACAACCCGATCACAAGTGTATTGAGGTCATGGATGAGGTCTGGTCTCAAGCAGACCAGATCTGGCAGACCAGCCCTCAGGGACCCTGATGTGGAGTACTTCACAGATGGAAGCAGTTCTATAAAAGATGGGGTATGTTTTGCTGGATATGCAGTGGTCACTCTGGACTCCACTGTTGAGGCAGAACCTCTGGCTCAGGGAACTTCAGCATAAAAAGCAAAACTTATTGCTTTGACTTGAGCACCTCGGCTGACAGCAGGAGTCTGTGTGAATATTTACACAGAATAAAAATATGCATTCGCTACTCTTCATGTTCATGGGCTTTATGTAAGAAAAAGGGGCTAATTAATTCAGGTGGAAAAAAGAAGCATAATGTGTGGGCAAAAAAAAAAATCTTAAAATTTTGGATGCACTGTGGGCTCCCAGGAAGGTTGTGATTATATATTGCCAAGGTCATCAAAAGGGAAACACTGTGGTTGCTCAGGGCAACCGGAGAGCTGACAGAGAGGCCAAGTTGGCTGCCTACAAGAAATGGGAAGAAAATCCAGTCCCAGGTTTAAATGCTGCCCTTCTGCCTGGCTGACCATCTAACAGAATGGGAGCCAACATATTCCCTACATAAAAGTAAGTGATTTAAGACCGAAATAGAACATTTTCTCCCAGGTGGAAGGTGGAGATTTTCTGATGGCCAGCATAGCCATCCCAGAGATTCTAGCCCCAGGCTTTATCAGACAGTTCCATAGGAGAACACGTTGGACATACAGCACTTGAGACAGTTTAGAGTCAACATTTCTATGTCCCCCAGCTCACAAGAATCACCTGGATGATCTGTAAACAACGTGAGGTTTGTGCTCACAACAATCCTCATCAGGGGCCAAAACTTCCACCAGGAATCCAAACTATAGGAGGAGCACCTTTTGAAGACTTGGAAGTAGACTTCACTGAACTACCACACTCACAGGGCTATAAATAACTTTTGGGTTTTGTGTGCTCCTACTCTGACTGGGTGGAAGCCATTCCCACCCACATTGAAAAGGCTTGGGAGGTAACCAGAATGCTCCTCCAGGAAATTATTCTCAGATTTGATGTCCCAATAACTATTGGCCAGCTTTTTTTTGACAGAGGTGATACAATTACTGGCCCAGAGTTTAAACATCAGATGCAAGTTACATAATGCCTATAGGCTGCAGAGTTCTGGTAAAGTTAAAAGGATGAACAGGACTTTAAGGCTCAATTGGGTAAGCTGTGTCAGGAGACTCACATTGTGATGAACTTCTCCCTATTACACTGTTGAGGATTAGATCCACTCTCACTAGGAGGAACTTGGATTCTCTCCTTATGAGATAATGGATGCGAGCCCTCCACTCTTATTAGGGGACTACAGGCAGACTTAAGGGAGATAGGAGAATTCACCCTGAGACAACAGCTTCAGGCCTTAGGGAAAACTTTACAGGTTCTCAACCAATGGGTTAGAGAAAGATTGACAGTAGGTTTGACCACAGGTGCACACTCCTTAAAGAATGAAGATTGATTGAGTCTGGGTCAAAGAATGGAATATTCAACACCTGAACTTCTTTGGAAGGGCCCTTTCACTGTTATTTTATCTACCCAAACTGCAGTAAAGGTTGCAGAGATAGGTCCCTGGATTCATTACACCAGACTCATACCTGCAG